CCTGCCTCCACCTCTCCACCCTCCAATACCCTGCCCTAACCTCTGCACACCCTTCATACCCTGCCTCCACCTCTCCACCCTCCAATACCCTGCCCCAACCTCTGCACACCCTCTATACCCTGCCGCACACATCTTCACCTTCCCAATACAGTACCCATCTCCCAACCTTACTATCTGTTTTCCCTTAAGATTTATCTCACTAATATGCATGTTTTATCTTGAAAGTTTGACTGGAAAGCAAGGACAACTGTAACAATAGTTGATATAGTGGATTACCCTAGAGGTAATGGCAAACAGATTCAAACTTAAACTTTTTCTTATCAATAAATACAAGAAAAAAGCAAAACATTTGGTTAAATATATGTTTTAGCTTGGCATAATGTTTTCCCATTTCAGACCATGTGTCATTCCTTTGTTTAATGGTTGTTCATGAGAAGACAATATGAATAAAGATATGATTCAATGTTTTTCCCTTCAGACCATGCCACTTATCATTCCCTTCTCATGAGTATCATTTCTCAAGGGAACAACACATGGTCTGAAATGAGAAAACATTACACAATTGCATAATCAATCATACACCAAGGCTTCATATATAAGTAGGTCTTATTTTGATTTGTCTCATCAGATGATGGTTTTGCGGGTATTTATTGTTCTGGATTACCAGAAAGATGCTGGAGTTTTGATGGAAAAAGAATTATTCTAGGGAGTTTTTGGGCCAGTTCTTTGGTGAGTAATGAGTGAGTAAAACTGTTTAGAGACTGTCTCTCAATGGCATTGTGACTTTTAATTAACAGTTAAGCCAATCAAAGAGTTAGGAATAGTACACCATATATCCAATCACACTTCTCGGATAAAGAAGGCATTTGAGAGTTACAATACATCTACCTTTAGAGGAAAAATATTTTAATCTTTTAGTATTTTGTTACAAAATTCTTCTTAGTTGTTGGTAATTGTTAGAAAATGCCATTAGGAACCCAAGAAGAAACGTTTTTTTTTCTGACTACAGAAAATTCTAGCTATTGACGTGGAATCAAAATCTGTCATGAATCTTACTAAAGGTAAGTTATTTTGTTTTGAAATTTACAGGACCACGACCCCACTAAAAATAGCCACTACCACAACAACTATCACTTCCACCACCACAACAGCAACCATTACCACAATAACATCAACCTTTACCACCAAATCCACTTCCTCTACCAAAACCGCCACTCAGCACCACACCCACAATCACCACTACTTGGATATTGCTTTACGTAGGAGTAATGGCTGGGGCTCAAGGGAAAGAGTACTGAGCTTGCTTAAACAACCTTTTTAACTGTTTTATTTTTATTTTTCAAAGAGGACGGCTGTTGGAACGTCCTTGATGTGCAGAAAGATCTCATTTTAGCATCGTTTTCTTCTCCATCATGTCCAAATCGTTTGGTTAGTATTATTCTTGGTTTGCAATCAATCCCAAGAGAGCACAATACAAAAGGGATGTCCGCCATGTTGGAAGATATAACAAAAGAATTCATTGAAAAATCTTTTGTCAAATTCTTCCAACATAGCGGCTATGACGTCTATTGCAAACGAAGAATTGTACACTTATAACACAACACATCTAAAACCTGGTACAAACTCTAGACACTTTTTCCCTTTTCAAACCACGTGTCATTACCTTGAGAATAAGATTCTTCGTCTTCTCAAGCATCGGATAACTAAAGCAGCAATACTCAAGGAAACAGAGGCCTTTCAAAATAATCTTGGATGCAAGGGCTAACGGGGAGGTACAAAAGTAATCGCGCACATTTTGTCGAGAAATAGCGTGATTTCTTTCGTATTATCATTTTACTTTCGCTTTCAAGATATCTTCGTGGAAAGGGTCTGTGATGAATTGTCTGACAGGGGGGTTTACTGCGTTCGTCTCTTTTTTTCATAAGTATGGCACCAAGATAACACAAGTTCCATTGTTTCTTTCTTTTTAGTTGATAAGGCCATTAACCTCATCAGGTGATGGTGCTGATTTGGATTGGACAGTTATTGGTAAGAATATAATAGTTTTGCGGTAGTGTACAGACTAAAAGACTTAAAGCTAGAGGTGACGCGATTTGATGCACGCACCTTTTCCAACTCGCGCGCACTGGTTGCATACGTGGGTAGTTCCTTGTTATAATACATTTAGGCGCACCTTTGAAGGATTTGAATCAAGATCCACTCTGCGGCTCTACCAGTAATAAACAATCACTACTGCGCATGCATATCTTAATTTAATACTTGCATTTGCGTTGTACGTGTGAACATTGCTTGCGTTTGCGTTTGCGTTGCTCGTGTGAACCAGGCTTAACTCGCGCGCACTTGTTGTAGATGTGGATAGTTCTTTGATATTATGTATTTTAGACGCACCTTTGCAGGATTATAATCAAATCTACTCTGCGGCTCCACCGCGGAGTACTGGCGCGTATTGGTTGCTGCAGGTTCAATGCTATTGTAATTTTTTTTTGGCGCACCTTTACAAAAGTATTTTAATGGTTTTTTTAGCAAACATGGAAGACCATCAAGACATTAAATGGGAAAATATTACTCTATCACCTGATGGAGACAAAACCAAAAGTTACGAAGCTGTACTCATTCAACCAACAAACCTAGAGAAGGACGTTCAACTAGTCGTACATCCACATGGTGGACCTCATTCTAATTATCCTTCAAACTACATGATTGAATTTGCTGGACTTTGCAAACTTGGATTCGCTGTCCTCTCAGGTATTTCTTTTCAGTATTGGAGTAAGAGAAAATAATAAAGTCAATAAAATTAAAGCCGGCCATTACCCCCAAGACATCTGTAGGTCTAGAAACCGAGGCGTCGTATGGACTTCAGATATGACGACAAAAGTTAAGGCCGATTTGCCCTTAATGTACGGATTACCGAGGATACTTTTTTAGCTCGAAGACATCAAGGGAGAGACTAACCGCCTCCTCCACCATACCTAAAGCTAATCCTTTATTTGCACTATTCGTAACGGACATTGATTTGAAGTGGGAAAAAATCAAGTCAATTATTTTCTCGGCTGTTTCGTATGAACTTTCGTGAACCAGGGGTACAATCGAAAAATTATGGGGGCTGGAAACAATGGGTGAAGCCTAGTTTAGATGTTCCAAGATACCCATCGGTAACACTGATATTAACTGGACAAAAAATTGAAAATGCTTTTATTTTGTAGTCAACTATAGGGGGTCTTTAGGGTTTGGTCAGAAGGTCCTCGAGTCTCTTTTGGGTAACGTTGGAACACAAGACGTTGGAGAAGTAAAGGTAGGAAAAAGACAGTATTGATAACGTGGATATGGATTGGTTTGTGATCGGACGTCACGTGTTACTGTTGATTTTGATTGGTTCTGATCATCATAAGAAGCCATTTGATAACTTGGATATTGATTGGTTTGATATTGGAAGCATGTGTTACTGTTGATTCTGATTGGTTTTGATAAGACGCCATTTGTTATCGTTCATTTCAATTGGTTCAGACTCTAAGCCAAGTGATAATTATTGATTTTGATTGGTTGTGATGTGAAGCCAATTCATATCGTTTATTTTGTAAGAACATGCGTAATAGGTAAATTACGAGCCTATATGAAACGACTGAAGAAGAGGGCCAATGGACATTTCACAACTTCATGTCGCGTAAAAAATGAGCCAGCTCAACTGGAAACCATGAGGTCGTTTCATACAAGGCTCGTAATTTACCTATTACGCATGTTCTTATATGATTTCCGAGCCCATCCCACACGGCTTACCGCCTCATCTCTCATGTACCACTTTTTCGTGGGATTCTATACCAGCTCACTAGATGCACCGTGATGACAAGGCCCAATACAGGCCGAAACAGCTGTCCACGATTTCTTGTTGGGCGTAGTCATAGGGGCCAGGACCCCCTTCGATCTTCGATAACGTAAAACGAAAGGCCGTTTTTTGGGGTTACGCGTTTCGTGTGCGCAAACAAAATGGCGCATCTTTTAATTTGAGCCCTCCCCTTCCGAAAATCCTGGCTTCGCCCCTGTAATAAATATCATAATCTTCTTTCATTTCTACAGTATGCATTGGACAAGGTTCTAGAGACAAGAAAGTTTGACAAGAAAAATGTGTTCGTCATGGGGGGATCCCATGGGGGATTTATAGCTTGTCATTTCATTGGCCAGTACCCGGTAAATAACACGTTTAAGATTACTAGAGTCGATGATTTCACTCATACACATTCCAGTGAACGACACTGACTAAAATGTAAAATCATTTCTTTCCAGGATTTTTTCAGTGCTGTCGCAATTCGCAATCCAGTTATTAACATAGTTTGTAAGTATTCAAGACCTATTTCATGAGTTTGAACCTAATTAAGTCGTGTAAGATTCATGAGAGATGAATACATTATCTCTTTGATTGACGTCGAATCCAGTAAAATGTTACAGG